AATGAAGATGGTTGCAAAGGACAGAAAAAAGCAGCATCTATTCAAATGCATATCATGTTTTTTTGTGAAAGTTAAAATGTTATGCATGTACATTTTTTCTTCAATTTTACAATTAAACACAACTTTTTTCTGGTTCATCACAAAAAATAAAGGTATAAAGCATAAATGCGTGGTTTTAGTTTTCACAGCCCAGCTCAGAAAGAAGAGCAACGCAGTCAACAGTCTGTTAAAAAGTAATAGTTCTACATCAGAAAATGCTGCCCGTTTTAGATATTGCAGAGCAGTAATGACAGAGCTATAAGGTAGCAGAGGCTCCCGCTCTAAGGCGCCCGGGGCTGAAAAACAGCTATAAAAATTCATAGCTATGGACCAAGACCACAAATCTCAACAACACATTTAACATTATGTTTCCTCCATCAAAAACACCAAATCCGATCAGAAAGATGACTGAAAAAAACAGCTCTGCATTTCAGTTTATTCTAAACAGGGGTAATGTGGACTCAATGATGCAGAGCATTTATTTTCCTTCTATTATTAATAAATTATTTTAAAATTTGTGACCATGTTATTTATCTAGAGCTTAATGACATAAAAAACACTAGTCTAAATATAAAAGTAACCAGAAAACCATGACTGTTGTATTAAACTGAACTGTTACTCTGGAAAATAATTTAATTCCATCGCAGTTTGCAAAAGTCTCTAGTTAGAGATTAGAAAGAATAACTCTTTGGCAAAATATAGATTATTTTTACGATAATGATAAATGACACAATAATTCCCCACGCCTAATGCAAAACTCCATTAGTCTGCTTACATCAAAAGAGCAGCAATCGTCAAAATAATCGTAACGTTAATAACTGTTTGGCTTATGTCTTTAATGGGCTTTCCACTTTCCAGATTAGCGTTTTTGTCAGTGCAAAGGGCAATTGTGTCACAGCAATCAATCATTGGGAGCTTCTGTCTTTTCACTCAGGGACCTTTAGCGAGGATGCATTGCCGCGTTGGTTGTAAATGAGGATCGAGAGAGGAACAGCTTGCAGGGATCCATACAGTAAAAGCACAACCTGTTGTGGCTGCAGGCTGCATTTGAGGGATTTAAGCCTCAAAAAACGACAACCTTTTCCTTCAGAGGGGTGATGAGCAACATGCGGACCGTGGATGGCAAATGTCACAGACGGGTATTGTTTATGAGGGATTATCAAGTCAAGCCTTATGGCTGGAAAGATTGTGACCCCAATATGTGCAGAGATACACATCAGCACCATGTAAGCTCCTAAAGGATTCCTGGAAGGCAGCACATGCATACATGCCCTCTTCACTCTGTCAAATCCATGTTTTAATCACTTCCACAGAAATTTTCTCTGGCCTTGCTTTGCCCATTTTCTCTCACATTTTTCTCCCTCTCCACCCAATTTCTCTGGTGGATTTTTGAAGACTTAAGTTCTTCTCTTTTTATTTTTTTTTTCCCCTCGCTGGTCTCTTTCTTACAAGGCAAATCCTGGGAGAGGTTGATGTGAAGACCAGGCAGAGCAGGGATGTGAAGAATATAAACACATTTTTTTATTGTCCAGAGGGAGGGGGGGTTGTGCAAGTGTGCAAAAGGGTTGGGCGGTGGGGTCTGTAAAAGAGACGAGGACCTTATCACAGCCCAGCAGCTCTGTAATTCGCCACCATGATAAAGTGGCAGCGCGGAAAACCTTACAAGGCTGGCACAATCCAAAGACGGATTAGGTTTTTCTGACATAAGCTTCCTGAAAAACTAATCAATCAGCCCGAGCAGCATTATCAGGAGCGTGAGATTAAAGAGCTGCTCCTAATCCCCCCAACTGTACATTTTATTACACTTCCCAGTGTTAAGTTGCCTTTAAACATACAGTAAATAAATAATAAAACCAAACCTAATTGAGCATGGGTAAGGGAAAGAGGGTTAAAAGGTCCTTAGAGAGGGAATTTGTGTAGAATCTGTGTTTTGTTACGAAGACAGGGATAAAAGTGTTGTCCTTGCCGGAGCCGTTACTGACTTTGAAAGGAGCGCCGCTCACTCTGCCGCTGCAGAGAAACTGAGGATGAAAAACTGTCTTTTTTTTTTTTTTTTTTAAGAAACTAGTGACAAATACTACTTAGGTTCACATTCCTACTTTTTTCATCCCCTGCAGAGAGATAACTCATCATGCAGCTTTTTTGACATGGCTCACTGCCCAGGGCATCCCCCTGTCAAGGAGCAGCATAAACATTACAAACAATGAAGCGGACCTGGATTTTGTCTTTGCGCAAAATTAAAGGGCTATTTTACCTTTTATATCTTTTATTTATTTATTCATTTTAGGAATAAATAAAACCAACCACTCTTTGTACAAAGTCTAAATTACACAGCTTAAACCCAGATTGGATAATTCTAGACCAATCAAGAATACTTTAACCTCTTACTGCCACAATTTATTTACAATTTTATAAAAAGGAATTCACTCACATTCATTTAGATTTCACATGAGGTAGAGATGAAAAACCCATTAAACCATTGTTCTTTTTGTGAGAACAAAAAATAAGATGATGTCTGGGTTGTTTATTTCCTGCTTCTTTTTTCCCCCAATACTATAACTATAAATTGAGATGGGCATGAAAACCAAAATGGTAAAAGGATGAGTAAGAATGGGCCTCCCAAGGGCCACTTCTTGAGCTGGCTTCTGCTGCAATCACTGCACTTTGATAAATAAGTACACAACTACTGCCAAAAGCTTTTGGAAATCACTTGTAATCCCTTAAATCACTGCACATCAAAGTTTGATGGAAAGACCGCAGGCATGTCAGAATTATGAAAATGAAATATATACAGTCTCCCTCTCTGATTTAATCCAGGTGTTTATTTACTTTTTAAACATACTTTAAATATACACACATATATAAGTCCCCATAATGATAGCACTGTATGTGCTAGGAGGCACAGAAGGTGAATGAGCCCTTTACAAAGTGCCTTGTTAAGGCTTTCTTCCAAAATAAAAAAAACAACACAGAGACTCGCTATAACATCCCCAATCGGTACAGTCTTTGTCAGTGTCTCCCTTTAACTAATCCTAATCTGAGTTTTAAAAAACTATATTTCACTGTGTGAAACTCTGGGAATAATGTTATCCAAGACAGGAAGAAGGATGACAGCGAAGAAGCTTTAATATGTCTCCTGTTCATCTACATTGTCCTGTTGTCATTAAGCTGGGGATAACTGCCGCAGATGTCACAGGGTAGCACCAATTCTCCCAGGATGGCTTTGACCCTCTTATTTGTCCCTGGGGTTTGGCACAGATGCTGAGACTGGGGTTTATTTTTTCACCACTTTGAGGTGCGCATTAACTGAGTGGGAGGAGGTGGATATATTCATGGTTTTCCGACCGCAAATAAATAGATTTCAAATATTTTAAAATATAACATTTTTGCATCCTGTTGGATTTCCGTATGTTTTTTTTTCTTTTTCATTTGAATTCATTAATGTATATGATGTTTAGACGGTTCTTGTGTATTTATTTTATGTTTTGTGTGGATCTAAGCCTTTCTTAAGCCTACAAAGTGGAAGTAATATTGATAAAGTCTAAAATGTCCCAGGTCAGACGTTTGTGGGTGTGCTGGGAGGGAAGCCACCGGGGCATATAAAGAGAGCCTCCCCGGGGAGGTGGCCTGCCTCTTTCTCTCTGGAGGCAGAGCTCCCAACAGGCTCAGTGCTGATTACAACAGAAGAGACAGCTTTCTGCTGCAGCTGCAGCACAGTTCAAGGCTATCTTTAAAAGAAGCCTTCTTAGAGGATTGAGCACAGATGTGAAGAACTTCTTCAATCCGATGGCATTTACCATTCAATTCTATTCATGGAAGGGGGATAATAAGGATAAAACCAAAAAAGAAAAAAAAAAACACAATATATTAAAAAATAGAGAGTGGACACAGCAGATGTTCATCAAAGAAGAGAAAACCCTTTGAATTTCCCAAGAGATCCCAATCTTTCTATACAGAGATTACTGCAATGAAAACAAAATTACACTAGAGGAAGATTATATCAAAAAAGCTTAACGCGTTGAATTTCTACTTAAGCCAAAATTCTTTTCCTTGCTCTCTAAGTATTATGTGATTTACAAAGAAGAAGCGACTAAAGCTTTAAAAAATCCATTGCCCTTTTCCCCCAAACTTTAATCTCTTATTTTAATGTGTCAATTTTAGAAGACTATCATATTTTGTTACAAACTGACAACAAAAATATTTATCCGATGTTTATCCAGATTTAAATCAGTGATCCAACTTTACCCAGACTTAGGACAAAAAAAAAATATTTTGACTAAAAGAAGAATGTGTTTTAAATGGGTCACAAAAACAGAACCTTAAAACCGTCTTTGTTAAAATAAAATACTGAAAATTGAAAATGAGGCAAAAAGAAATATTTGAAATCATTTTCTAAGAGACAGCAAGGCGTTACCACGGCAGGATTCAATTATTATTTGAATAAAAGTTTATTCTAGATTAAGTTGAGCTAAATTAAATTAAAAAATAGCTGCAATATAGAAGGTACCTTTAATTATATGTGGTAATAATATGTTTTTTGCAGAGCAGCTCAAAACATTTTATGAAATTCAAAGCATTAGATTTTTTTGAGCAAGAGCCGAAGATCACAACAAAGCCATAGGTTCTGTCTGTAAAGATGCTACTGAATTTTTACTGTTTTACTATTGTTTTATTTACATTTTCTCCAAATGCTGCAGTAGATCATCTATATAGATTCACAATAAACGACTTTTTAGGACACTTCTGCACAAAGCAACTTCAGTCCAGATAAAAAAATCACTACAGTTTATAAAACTCAAATATGGCATGAATTTATGTGTCATTAAAGAAAAAAAAAGGTAAATGATGCAGCTTGAATTTCTGCATAAAGATAGATGGATAGAACAAGTTTTAAAGTGCAACTTGCTGCGAGACATTAGAATAGAAATAACCAGTCAATATAGAGTCAACCCATTACTCACCTGGTGCAATAGGAAAAACAGCAAGAATGTTTGCAGGGCTCCCATCTTCAGCGACTTCTCGGTTTATTCAAGATAAGCGGCGGTTTAAACCTCTCTGGAAGACTTGGAGAGGAGAAGACACGCATGCCGCTGAAACATCACCTGCGAGATTCACACACACACAGAAAAAAATTATATATATATATATCAAGTGATAGACGCTCTATTGGTACAGTTAAGAAGAAAAATAACTTTCCCTTATAGATACCTCAAGCTGGAGTAAATCCTGTCCAATCCAGCAAAGAGTTCTACAATCCTCTTTAAACGTCCCCGTCTCTCAGGATGTGGGAATTTCCTCTTCAAGCAGCGACTTAGTTTTCTAAGTTTCAAATCCAGCCGAACAGTTTTATTCTGTTTAATCCGGAGCGATATGAGCAGGAAGTTGTCTCTGAGCGGAGTTAAAATGCTACCAAATGAGTCCAAGTGCCTGTGAGACTGCGGTCAGTCAGGCAGACCGTTTCTTCAGCTCTGCTTGATTCCAGTGCGCAAAATCCTCCGCTGCGCGTCTGGAGCATCCAAGGACGGCGCGCATCTGCTGCGAGACCTGAAGATCTTCCTCTGAGAGGCTCCCTCTCTCCTCATTTAAGGCAGAAGTAAGAGGCTTGATGTCACAGTTATCTGTTCCCTCTTTTAAATAATTTTTTTTAACCCTTTATATGTACAGGAGGTAATTTAAGTGAATGAGTTCCAGTTTTAAGAACATGGAGAATGGGAAATTTCAAGGCAGACAGAAGCGGTCATTATGGAATATTATTGAAGGTGCTTTGATATGAAACAAAACCTATTCGGTTCTTGCGTGTGAAATATTAGTTTTCTGTTTGCAAATGTTTTTTTTCTCAAATCGTACTTCGGAATCTCTCTAAAATCTGAGTTTATTAGTAAAAGTTTATCGTTTGGAAAACGTCTGAAACTGCGGTTGAACTCATACTAGAAGCGATGGCAAACAGTCTTTCCACAGTTACCAAGACTGGCGGACTGAGATGATTTTTGGGACTTTGGCTCCACCATGTGGTTGCAATGACACAAAAAGTGTACACTTTAAAGTCAAAATAAATTAATTAGAATAAAGCATTTTTTTCACTAACTTAATTGAGTGGAAGACATTAATAGAATAATTACACGCAGTCTGATGTCTTCTAGCCTTTATGGAGGAAGTCTTGCTGAATGTGATTTATGCCCACAGCGTCATGCAAAATTATTCAATATGGTTGGACCTATTTATTCCTTTTTTTATTTACAAGTCCTGATTTTAATGTTTTTTAGGGAAACATATAGGACAGATACTGAAACAATTAAAAGTGGAAGACAATTTTACATGTTCTTATTTATGTTTTTCATAGTAAGATTTTGAAATGTGACACGGTTTGTATTTTCACATTATTCCATTATAATGGTACTTTTTTCCAGTTCTTTGCAAAATAGGTAAACTGTGTCCAGTTATCTGCAAAGTGTCTGTTAGGTGCAAGAAATACAAAAATGATAAAAAAAAGGAAAAGGGATACTTTCTGGATTCTCCATCACAGCCTCCCCATAGCATGCTACTACCACCACCAGGAACTGGTAGCTTAGCTTAATTTTCATTCTATTCCGAAACAAAGAATTTTACTAGTTAACCCAGAAAATTTAACATGACTCAAATTTGACACACATGTCTGCTGTGTCCCCAACATGGCTTATGGGAAATTGCAAACGGAACCTCTTATTGCTTTCAAAGCATTTCTTTTGCCATTCTCTAATAAAGGGTTACTTAGTGGAGCACTGTTAGCTGTTTTATGATCACCCCTCCTTTCATTGTGTTCGATATATAACCCATGATCATTCAAAGTATGCTGAATTTACATTTATATACTCTACAAGGGAAAAAAAATCTTATTGCAAAAAGCTTATATTTCTAAATGTCCTGATGGGAATAAATGAAGAGGGAAAAGAAGTGACATTGATCTCATGTTTTATTTAAAACCCTTTATTCGATTGACATAGTCCTTAATTGTTAAATAACTGGAGCAGTTTAAAAAAAACAATTATAAGCTAAGTGAGTACATTAACATGGAAAAGTGCACAGTAAAGTAAAAAACCTAGGAAGAGCAAAGTCTTGCCTTTATTCAATACTCTATATAGTATTAAATGTTGTATCTCTATATCTATTGTAGAACATTGATAAGACCAGTTCAATAACAACTCAATAAAAATGACAAATTATAACACTGACCAAGCTTCAGTCTGACAAGTAATGTACCAGAGTTAAGAAAGGTCTAAAGTTCACAGAATTAACTTTTGACACTTTTTGTCTTATCACTCTCAATATAACTTAAGTGCCCAAGTCTTTGAACTACAGAAGCTAATCATGTCTTTGGTGTACAGGTGATATGAGGTAGGCCTATTAATAAGTATGTATGAGTGAATAATGTCAGACAGGCTGACTCTCGTCCTTTCTTATGAGCTAGACCTGAGCCATCAGTGTAATCTAACCTTTGAAAATTGGTTTGTGTGATGGATTAGGCTGCTTCAGATGAAAATAAATTATTGACACTGATTAGAACCATGCAAACAAAATGTTCAAGTGGTTTAGATAGATAGATAGATAGATA